TGGTAAGAGTATGCTTGGTTTTGTAAGAAACTGCCAAACTGTCTTCTGAAGTGACAACCAGCAATGAATGAGTGTTTCTGTACATCCTCATCAGCATTTGGTGTTGCTAGTGTTTCGGATTTTGACTGTCCTAAGAGGTGTGTGGTGGTATCTCATTGTTGTTTTAATTTTCAGTTCCCTAATGATGAGTGCAGGCCTTTGCCTGTGGCTCAGCAGTAAAGAATCCACCTATAATGTGGGAGCCGCAGGAGACGTGGGCTCGATCCATGAGTCAGGAAGATCCCTTGGAGAAGGCCATGGGCACCCACTCCAGTATTCTTGTCTGGAGAATCCCATGGAGAGAGAAGCCTGGTGGGCTACGGTCCATAGGATTGCAGAGTCAGACAGTGACCTAGCACTGCACGGCAACGACATGTGCTAATGAACAATTTTTCATTTTTTCATTTTCATTTTTCATTTGCCACTTGTATATCTTCTTTAATGAGTTTTCTATTCAGGTCTTTTGGCCTTTTGTAATAAAAATAATTTATTTTTTCATTTTTTACAGTTACTTAAATTTACATTTTTGTGAAAATATATTCAAATTTTATAGACTGGATACAGTTACGCTTCACTTTTAAATTACTGTCAACAGAACAGAGGGTGTGTGAAAAATCTTTGTTAAAATAATTAATGATTGTACTCAACTAAGTTTAAGAAAAATTAATTTTATGAAAAAATTATGTAATAGTTTATAACTTATGTGAACTTATGTTTTATTATTAATCCAAATATCACTTGCAGTTAAGATTCCTCCATGGGTTATCGTGGCTAGATAGCTCATTTCTTCTTAGAGATGAATAATATTCCATTGTCTGAATGGACCACAGTTTATCTATTCACTTACTGGCGGGCATGTTGCTTGCTTTCAGGTTTTGGCGACTACAAAAAAATGAGCTATAATTATTCTTGTGCAAGTTTTTCTGTGGAGATAAGTTTTCCATTCACTTGGGTAAATACCAAAGAGCACAACTGTTGTATTACATGGTAAGAGTATGCTTGGTTTTGTAAGAAACTGCCAAACTGTCTTCTGAAGTGACAACCAGCAATGAATGAGTGTTTCTGTACATCCTCATCAGCATTTGGTGTTGCTAGTGTTTCGGATTTTGACTGTCCTAAGAGGTGTGTGGTGGTATCTCATTGTTGTTTTAATTTTCAGTTCCCTAATGATGAGTGCAGGCCTTTGCCTGTGGCTCAGCAGTAAAGAATCCACCTATAATGTGGGAGCCGCAGGAGACGTGGGCTCGATCCATGAGTCAGGAAGATCCCTTGGAGAAGGCCATGGGCACCCACTCCAGTATTCTTGTCTGGAGAATCCCATGGAGAGAGAAGCCTGGTGGGCTACGGTCCATAGGATTGCAGAGTCAGACAGTGACCTAGCACTGCACGGCAACGACATGTGCTAATGAACAATTTTTCATTTTTTCATTTTCATTTTTCATTTGCCACTTGTATATCTTCTTTAATGAGTTTTCTATTCAGGTCTTTTGGCCTTTTGTAATAAAAATAATTTATTTTTTCATTTTTTACAGTTACTTAAATTTACATTTTTGTGAAAATATATTCAAATTTTATAGACTGGATACAGTTACGCTTCACTTTTAAATTACTGTCAACAGAACAGAGGGTGTGTGAAAAATCTTTGTTAAAATAATTAATGATTGTACTCAACTAAGTTTAAGAAAAATTAATTTTATGAAAAAATTATGTAATAGTTTATAACTTATGTGAACTTATGTTTTATTATTAATCCAAATATCACTGGTATATGAATAGAGCAACCAGATGTGCACAAAAATTATACAGCTGTCTTTGATATTTTGCAAATTTTCAGTCACTTAAAAATGATAATTTTACGTATAGTTGTTGTAAATGTAAATTTTCAAAGTAGGAGGATAAAATATTTGTTGAGTGGTTTGATAGCTTTAGTTTAAAAGTTTTCATACTTTCACGTATGATAGGGCGGCTTCCATACTTACTCTTTCCTGATCTCCCTGAGTGTTATGGGTGGGACTAAACCATGTTCTTTCCCCTGGCAGACAATTTGTTGTGCGCCAACTTCTCCCACCCCAGGGCCTTCGAAAAAGAAAATTCCAGAAGACTGTTACATTCTCCCCTCATTACACAGCTCTACTAAGGCTATGGACACAGAGCCTAACAGCTGCTTGAAAAGAGAGAAAAGGAGTAAGATAATACAGAAATACAGTTGTTTTTGAAAGATTACTATTTACAAACACTACCTATCTTACCTTACCTTGATGAAGGTGTGAACACGATTCCCTAAGAGCACAGAGGAGCAGCAGTGGTGAGCACTCAGTACACAGTCAGGTTAAGAACAGCCTCCTGTGTGACTTGGCAGTAAATTTGTAAGTGAACTTTTGTGTTATGGGTCATGGGTCCTGAATCCTGTGATGACAGTTCACCAAAGAGGACAGAAGATGAATTGATTATGACTCAATAATAGAATAATAAGGTGACATATATCTATATATTTGTACATAGACATGTTTCAATGATAAATATTCACATTTTTAAGATGTCTCCTTAAGCATATTTTAGTACTCAAATGTAAAGTCAAAAGAGTCTAGAAATCACTGCAGAGAGGATGTGTGTCGACATGTGGGCTGTGGACCATCCGGTGCAGAAGGGAGGTTCTGAGGGACACTGCAGGGGTGCGTTGAGGTGTGACTTTTGTGTGCATTTCTATAATAAGCTGCTTCGCTCTTGTGCACACTACTGTTGGAAAACTGTCACACACAGGGTTTAAGGAAGTTTGTCCTGCTGCACTGTAGAGAAAGGAAGAGTCAAGAAACTAAAGTTAGGAACATGTATTGTTGTTCATTAAAAATTTTTTTTCACAATAGAAAAAATTGAAATATAGTTGATTTACAAAGTTGTGTTACTTGAAGGCGTACAGCAAAGTGATTTAGTCATACACATACATATGTTCTTTTTCAGATTCTTTTCTCTTACAGGCTACTACAAGGTATTAAATATAGGTCCCTGTGCTATGATTAGGTCCTTGTTGGTCATCTGTTTTATACATAGTAGTGTGTATATGTTAATCCCCAAACTCCCAGTTTATCCCTCTTCATACTGCAGTTTATTAATTCAGAACTTAGATGGTGAAAGCCAGCTCTAAGGGGAGTGGCTGTGGGGATAGGGAAGAAAGGCTGGATTCTAAGAACATCTTGAAGGGAACAGATATAAACTTTTCTGTCTAAATATAGGGGGTTTAGGAACAGAATAAAACTCCGTGTCAACATTTTAAAGAATTATTTCTCCCACAAAGCTATCTAGTTGCCCATTCCCATCCCACTGTCCCAAATTGTAGATCCACTAAAAATATGTGATTTGCCCAAGATCACACATCTTCATAGTGACAGACTGAACAAAAGCCAAACTTTTAGGCAGTAAGGCCAATAGTCTTGCTACCAAAACATGAGTCACATATGTTTCCAGGTGTTGAGAAACTTGGTCTGCTATTCAATATTTTGTTGAGGATCATCTACATGTTAAGCAATGTGCACAGTGCTCAGTGCTTGAATTACAGTGGTGAATAAATATGCTGCTGCTGCTGCTGAGTCACTTCAGTCGTGTCCGACTCTGTGCGACCCCATAGATGGCAGCCCACCAGGCTCCTCTGTCCCTGGAATTCTCCAGGCAGGAACACCGGAGTAGGTTGCCATTTCCTTCTCCAAATATGCTACTTGCCCTCATTTAACTTTATGTCTGGTTGACAAAACAGTGATACTTATGCCAGAGAAGTTTCAGGATGTGAAATTGGTGCAGTGATGGGGGTGTGATGAGTTATTTTAATGTCTCTTAGTTTGGGGCATGCTGGGTTTGATGTCTGTATTTCATGTACATACAAATTGCCTCATTCTCCCTGCAAGCTACAGGGATGTATTTATTTATGTATGTATGTAGATTAAGCAAACCTTCCCTAGGTGTCTTTTCAGATGAGAGAGAGAAGTGTAAATAGTGAGGAGAAGGTTTATCACATCCGTTAAAAAATACCCTTCCTGAGTTTGTGGCAATGTGACCGACCTCTGGCTTGTGGAGAAGAATATAAGGTTGTTTTACCAGGTGGAACAAAGTTGCAGGGTTTTGACATGATTTTTTTTTTTTAATCATTACTGAGGTACATCTTTCTTCTGTAAAGTGTGTCTTGTCTCCAGATGGTTTTCTTTTTCTTTTTTTAGATTCTACTATACTTTGGAAACCAGAGACAAAGCACAAAGGCAGTATTAGCTGTTTGCAGCCTATACTCTGTAAATTGGCTATTAGCCAGGTGTCCTCATAGAGATGGGCAATGTGCCTTTGTCCTCCCTTGTGTCAAGAGTAGGAAAATGAATCAACTTGGACATGCTTTAGATGATTTTCAGCATGAAAACTGAAATCCATGGGTTTAAAATGAATTTACTCTCTAAATATTTGCACTGAATAAAGTTTAAATGAAAATACTCTGTGACTATTCAAAGACAGAACTTTGAGAAATAATAACATTAGAATCATTTCAGGGAATCTAAAGAAACACATTGAACAAAGTATCTGTGGGTGGAAGTGGACACAGCACTGAATGTGACTGCTTGAGTATAGTTCTGATAGATTTTTCTAGCTTTTAAAGAAAATTTTTATGTTGAGGAAAAGGTTTGGGTTTTTTAATATGCTCACATGATATAATCTACTTTTTTATTCTTTTCTTAAATAAGGAAGAATAAACATCAAGGAAAAAATTTGAAAACTGTAGTATTTAGTAATTTACTAATAGCAAAATACCCAAATACCTTTTAAAAAATAGAATAGAGCCAGGAAATCAAGTTCTATATGATTATAGAGGAGTAGAAATGTTTTTACTTATTTTGGTTTATAACTTGAATTTAAAACTAAAGGGAGAGCAGGAGGAAAAGGAAGAGGAGGAAAGGAGGATATTTTGATAGGTTTTTAAAAGAATTCTTTTGAAGATTTTCTTTTTTAGTTTAGAGAAACAGGTACAAGTTATGTAGTGTTCTGTGATTCTGGTTTTGCACACTCAGAGATAGACCATACCATTTATTGTTAATTTGATCTAAAGGCTTTCTTTTCCATATTTAGACATTATGTTGGTATAGCTGGTAATTTGCATAAGAGAAATAAATTACCCGCATATTAAAAGGAGTTGAAGTGTCTTAAATGCTTATGCAGCCACAAGTAGAACAGTTAGAAACACACTGGTTATATTTCTTAATTATTGATATTTATTTATGAGAGTAATTTTCTGCTTACCAGTTGTCATTAATCCTTACAGCTTTATGGTTCATATGCTCCCTTATGCATGTGGTATTGACTTTGTTTAACAAATTGTATTATTCGTACTGTTTTCTAAATTTGCTGCAGAAACTTGGCATTCTGCAAAGTCTTGAACTGAAGGAAAGAATTTTCCTGATGAAACTTGCGCTGGCCTAACAGAACCATGACCAATGTGCATGATCAAAGCCCCCAAAGAGTGAGCAATAATGAGGTAAGTGGGGACCTCAGACGTACCGCTTAAGGAAGATAAGTTCTGAGCAGGCTCTGAAGAGCTTATTGTTTGGGAGCTTGCAGTTCCAAGGGGAAATGAATGTATCTCTTCATTTCATTGTCCCTGGAGCCCTGATCACTGGTGGAAATAGTATACTCCATGATTATACCAATCTTTAACAATATTTCTCAGAACAAGTTCATATGTTTAACAAGAAATACCCCTGAGTGCTGTTTAAATGCACTCATAGTTCTCTTATGAAGTCACTCGGCAAAGACTTGTTATGCTCTGATTAGCTTATTAGTTCATTCTGGATCTGATAAGAGAGTTTTGGGGCATTGTCTGTCAACTTGCAAGAAATTAGGACAGCAAATGCCTTTGAATTGTCTTTGCTTATTTAACCATGCTTCTGCAGATGTTCACTATTTTAATATGTCTTTTATTTGGAAAGTGCACTATTTGTTTAATCAATGAGAGATGTACAATTCCAAATAAATGACGTTTATAAGTAGATTAAAATGCTAAAGAGATGTACTTCCCTCTCAAATGAGTGTCAACCTTGCATATCAACATATGGTTAATTCTGAACGTCAAAAGATCATTTTCAGGCTCCCTTAGTTCATGGAATGATAATAAAAAATTACACAGTATGTAGTTTATGAAGGCAACCCATAATGATAGCTTCGCTTGTATTTAGGTTATTTACAAATGAGTATAAGTTAATTTTTCTGTAAGAAAGGAAATATGAGAGCTGCAGCTGCTGCTTTATGGATCAAATTATTTTAAATAATTCTGTGAACTCATTAGTGGTATTTTCAAGAAGTACAATGCAAAACTCAACTCCTACTACTCTTTATTTCCCCAACTTCTGTTTACTCCTGTTATTTTAATATGAATAAGTTAGTGAGGTGGAAATGTGGTGCAACAGAAGAAATTAGACTTCTGAGTTAGATACAGGGCTGTAGCACTGGATAGCTCCAAGGATTGCCGTTCTATAGGCTCCATGAAGGGCATTCCTGGTGGTGTGCAGCATTTATCATGGCTCACCAGAGATTAATGTTGGAAACTCGATTAAATAGTGTTGGGCAAAGTTCTTGGCTCTTTGAACCTTTCAACCTTGCATATCAACATATGGTTAATTCTGAACGTCAAAAGATCATTTTCAGGCTCCCTTAGTTCATGGAATGATAATAAAAAATTACACAGTATGTAGTTTATGAAGGCAACCCATAATGATAGCTTCGCTTGTATTTAGGTTATTTACAAATGAGTATAAGTTAATTTTTCTGTAAGAAAGGAAATATGAGAGCTGCAGCTGCTGCTTTATGGATCAAATTATTTTAAATAATTCTGTGAACTCATTAGTGGTATTTTCAAGAAGTACAATGCAAAACTCAACTCCTACTACTCTTTATTTCCCCAACTTCTGTTTACTCCTGTTATTTTAATATGAATAAGTTAGTGAGGTGGAAATGTGGTGCAACAGAAGAAATTAGACTTCTGAGTTAGATACAGGGCTGTAGCACTGGATAGCTCCAAGGATTGCCATTCTATAGGCTCCATGAAGGGCATTCCTGGTGGTGTGCAGCATTTATCATGGCTCACCAGAGATTAATGTTGGAAACTCGATTAAATAGTGTTGGGCAAAGTTCTTGGCTCTTTGAACCTCCGTTTCCTTGTCTATAAAATGGAGATTATTTTACTTACCAGATATTGTTCTTTTGTCAGTTACAAAGGAATTTACCTACCAGATGTGATTCTTTTGTGAAGATGGGGTTTTACAAGAGTTTATTTCCATAACAGCACTTAACATAGTACCAACGCATGTGTACGTGTGCTAAGTTGCTTCAGTTGTGTCTGACTCTATGCGACCCTATGGACTGTAGCCTTCCAGGCTCCATAGGATTCTCCAGGCAAGAACACTGGAGTGGGTTGCCATGCCTTCCTCCAGGGGATCTGCCCAACCCAGGGATTGAACCCACGTCTCTGACATCTCCTGCACTGGCAGGGGCTTCTTTACCACTAGAGCCCCCTGGTAGGTGCTTAATAACTTAGCTTTGCAAGTAGATAGATAAGACTGAAGTCCAACAAATCGATTTAGAAAGGGGGAAAAGATGATATTCACTTATGTGTAAAACTTAAAGGAAAAATGAAATCAGTCGGAAAGGCAGTCTAAGCATTTATGTGGCACCTGAGGTTTGGTCCTTGCACTGAATGCAGGCCTTAAGAGGGCAAGTGACACAGAATGGACAGATGCATATTACCAGAAGTTTGAAACCTTCACATATTTAAAACTCCTCCTGCTTGTGTTTCATGACAAACAGGAAAACTGATAGAGAGTCTGTGGTACTTCCATTTCAGGTTTAAAATTCTTTCAAAGTAATTAATTTTACTATTTCTATTCCAACCCATTTTTTCTAAGTGTTTTAGAAAAGACTTTAATAATTAGCAGTGCTACACTAATATGTGCATGCACACACAAATATGTGCACACCCACAACCTATAGATCTTGGATACTTTAAAATGTTAATTTCTATCATATAAATTTTAGACTTTTACCACAAAATATAAAGCAGACATTGCAAATTGTTTTTCAGAAAAAGATATTACAACAGAGAAAGGTAGAAAAAAGTTTGTATAATTCAATATAATAAAAATAAAAGTGTAATGATAATTACTATAGCTATCAATCTTCAGTAATTTGTGAAGAATCCAGCTTTAAATGCGATGAAGCTTTATAAGATTTGTGATTACAGAGTGTAAAATATAACAGATGCTACAATATTTAGATGCCTGCTGGCATTTACCTTTTTCTCTGCACAGTTCATTTCAACGATATGAAAATTTTATGTGCTATATAAAAGTAGAGAAAAAGAAATTTATTTGTAAAATAACCACAGGAGAATTGATGGTGTTCAGCAATGTGGTATTTGATTCTGTTTGACCAGATGAACTATGTGAGAAAGTGGAGAATTTGATGATACAGTATTACTTTCAGTTTTCATATGGTGGAAGATGCACAGGTCACAAAATAACACTGGTGTTGAATTCAATTACTTTCTCTGTGGTGTTCAGAGCTGACTTTTTAGGATGGGAGCCCTACTGTTCACTGGAGAAATGGTTTTGCTTTGAGGATTGCAATGGAGAGTTGCTGGCATTGGTGACTTTGGAGAAATGGCCAATGTTATATTTCAGAGGCAAGATGCTTGGGGTGCAACATCTCATTTTTTAAAACCACATTATACAGGGCATTAAATGTTAGTCCTCTTCTTTAAAAAATTCTTTTGCTGTCTTATGTATGTTCATGTTGTAAACATGATTTTAAATTCCAGATATCCTAAAATAAACGAAACTCCAAATTGCCTACCTTTGAAGATTTGTTCCCTCTTTTAAAAGGTTTAAAATTTCCCATTACATCATATATTTTTTTCAGAAAAACATTTTCTTGAGAAAATAATGAAAACATTTCTAGATCTGCAAGCTAGAAACCTTGAAGTTATTCTTGGACATCTTTGTCTCCATCTTCCTTACATCCCCAAATCATTAACTTCTATCAGTTTTTATCTTCTGTGCCTGTGTGCACGCTCAGTTGCTCCATCGTGTCTGACTCTTTGCAACGCTATGGACTACAGCCCACCATGCTCCTCTGTCCCTGGGATTCTCTAGGCAAGAATACCAGAGTAGGTATCCCCCTCCTCCAGGGGATCTGCCTGACACAGGAATCGAACCCGTAACTCCTGAGTCTCCTGCATTGCAGGCAGGTTCTTTACCCACTGAGCCACTAAATGGATATCTTCTAATATCCATTAAATCTGTCTGCTTCACATTCTATAAGTACCATTTGTAGTGCTCTGCCTGGAATAATGGGAACATCTCTTTTTCTCCCTGCATCTATGTTTCTAGAGCAAATTTATTTTCCATAATTTTCAAAATGTAAACCTGACCTTGTTCTACCTATATTTACTTCAAGAATCCCACTGTTCTCAGAACGAAGACCAACTTTCTTAATAAGGGCCCATGAACATTGATTTGGCTTTGAAACTGCCAACTCCCAGATGTATCTCCCCTGGCTCTTTGCAGTCTTGAGTCCTCTTCTGCGCTTGTGGGACCTGAAAGCCTTTACTATTGAATTTCCCCTATGCCAGCAGCCCTGCAGATTGAAATACACATAACGTTGGATCTGCATGAAGATGTGCCAAGCACACCAATAATTTTGAAGTTTCCAGATCCGCAACATCCACATGGACTTTTTTTTTCCTGTGAATGATCTGCATCAAGAAGGTGTCTGCAGGTGAGGCATCCTGCTACCTCTCCCTTCCATGTTCACTTTCACGGTCACTCTTTTGCTTTACAAGCAGACAAAAGAATGTGGACCTTTCATTCATTCTGACCCTTATTGTGGAACACTGCATCAGATAGTAAAGTCTCTGGGGCCCCAAAAGAGGAACGACTGTCAACAACAAGGCATCATGTATTTTCCATTTTGATACATATTGCTCTCACGGGAAAGTGGCCTGTGCTGGAATGTTCTGACTTCAGATATTTCATGGGGTGGGGCAGCAGGGGCACTGACAGTTTTTCTTTAACCACCCCACTTCTTTCACCACCCCCCAACTGTCCTCAAGAAAGAGGGAGGGAGGGTCTCAGAAGAGCAAAGCAAACATTCAAGACGTCAGAATTTGTTTCATCCACGTGGCAAACTAGGGGAACCTCCTGCTTTAATCTGTTTGTCTGACTTCTTTTCTGTCTTTATTGTTTATCTACCTATTAGATACACAAGTTTTGTGAAAAGCAGCCTGGGAACTCTCAGTTTGATCTGATTTTTTTTGCAGTTTCATTAATAAGAAGGATCCTGAGGATTACTCTCATTCACCTTTACCATAGTCTGTCTCTCTGTTTCATATCTAGTCAAGATCCGGTTTCCTGTTCTTTTGAACAAATATCCAAAAGTGGAACTGCTGGACCACGTGGTAGTTTTTTCTATTTTTCATTTCTTAGGGAAGCTCCATGTTGTTTTCCATAGTGGCCATATTGTTTTACATTTGTACCAACAGTGGACCAGGATTCCAATTTCTCCACATCCTGCCAACACTTGTATTTTTTCATTTTTTTGATAATGGCCATCCTAGGCAGGTATAAGCTGATATTTCACTGTAGTTTTGATTTACACTCTCTTATTGATTAGTATGGTAGACATCCTTTCAAATGTCTATTGGCCACTAGTTTGTCTTTTGGGAGAAAATGTCTATTCAGGTCTTTTGACCTTTTTTTAAATGAGTTATTTGTTTTTGTTTTTTTACTGTTGAGTTGTAGAAGTTCCTTACAAATAAAGACAATAACCCCTTATTAGATGTATGGCTTGCAAAACTTTTGCTGTCATTCCCTAGGGTGTCTTTTCTCTTTGTCGGGTTGTTTCTTTTGCTATATAGCAAAGTTTGGTGTAGTCCCATTTACATGTTTTTGCTTTCTTGCTTCTGGTTTTGATGTTGTTTCCATCTCCGAGAATACTGACAGCAGTTTGTTTACATTTTCAGCTTTGTGTGTTCTATTGCTTCCCACTTGTTTTGTTCAGTTCTTTCATTTCAGTCTTTCTTTTTCCTATCAAAGTCTTCCTCTACTGTTTTGTAACCCTTGATTGCTAGCTATATTTAAGAGTTGGGGGTTTGGACTTTGGAAATCATGTCATTTAAAACACTGCCTTAATTTTTAGCTTTCAAGTTAAACAACCAGTTTTCTGTGTTGGCATTTTTGTTTTTGGTTTCTGCTTCAGTTCTCTCACACATTCTTCTGTTTTCTGAAGTGAAATACACTGAAAAAGTGTATTGCTAGTCCCCCTTCTCTCTCACCTTTCTCATCCTTATGAAATTAAATATGTTAAAATATATCTTTATGTGGCTTCCCTTGTGGCTCAGCTGGTAAAAAATCCACCTGCAATGCGGGAGACCTGGGTTTGATCTCTGGGTTGGGAAGATCCCCTGAAGAAGGGAAAGGCTACCCACTTTAGTATTCTGGCCTGGAGAATCCCATGGACTGTATAGTCCATGGCGTCTCAGAGTCGGACACGACTGAGCAACTTTCACTTTCACATATCTTTATGATACTCCATGAGGTTTCAGGAGGTAGTGCATTTATATATGTATGTGTTCAATCTCCTGACTATTTGGAACCTTGATTGTCTTTAAAAATCTTTGTTTTTGTTTTATTTCAGAGAACAAAAGTATGTGTGTGCATCCAGATATGTCAATTTTTTTCAGTATGTTTCTGATTTTTTCTTTGAGAAGTCTCTCCTTATATCAAGGTTAAAGCAATTCTGTTCTTTTTTTCCTTAAGCTTTTACTCCTTCTGGAACTTATTTTCATGTATGAAATGGGGAATAGACATCCAATTTTATTATTTTCAATATGTCTCAACTCTGTTTTTTTACATAGCTAATAATTTCCCTATTGATTAATCATGACACTTTTACCTTTAGAAAAATTTTAATATAGTATATAGGTCCATTTTTTGCTTTTGCTATTTCACTTTCTATTCTTCTGCCCAAATTGGAATTTTTTTTTCGGCCATGCTGTTGCTTATGGGATCTTAGTTCCCTGACCCAGGATAAAACCCAGGCCTCCACAGTGAAAACACTGAGTCTTAACCACTGGAGTGCCAGGGAATTCCCTGGAATATTTTTAATCATTATGATCTTATGACATGTTTTGATATCTGAAATATTATTCCCCACATTTTACGTGTTCAAAAATTTTTTTTCTAGTCTTGCTTATTTCCTTTAGTTGTATAGTTTTGCATTTCCATTATTTAAAAAGTTATTCTATACTGACTTTGAAATTAAAGACAATTTAATCAGACAGGGAAATTAATAATCCAGAAGTATTGTGAGTTCTTTCTGTTTATTTAAATCTCCTTCTGTGTCTTGTTTGACTGTATTTTTTTTCTTTATTTTATAGTTTGATTGCTATTGTGAACATGTTGGAAAACAGCATAGGAGGAGATAAAAGCTTGCTTTGACTTTTCTTCAAATCCTGAGCTCTAACATACTTCCTAGCCTCATCTATACCAGAGGTTCTCAAACATGACTCTTCATAAGAATTGTAAGCCATGCTTTTAAAATAACTATCCCAGTCCTACCCACTAAAAGTGCTAAGGGGGTAACACTTTGATTAGCCTAGTCTGGGTCTGGAGAATTAGTATATTTTTAAAACTCCTCTGCAATGTCTAAAGGTTGAAGAAGCTTGAGAATCACTCCTCTACACGAGTAACTCTTAAACTTTGCATACACTAGAATCATTTGGGAAGCTTAAAAAAAAAAACCAAGTAAACAGCAACAGCAATAAAAATCAGATGCACACACTGCACACCACAAAAATTACTTTAGAATTTTTGGGGTGATTCCTCAGCAGCAGGATTTTTAAAAATCTCCAGTTGATTCCAATGGGCAGGCAGGTGTGAGAATTACTGTCCCACCTCCTACAACTCCAATGGTGGTAGGAGCACCAGTAAAGTCAGCATCACCTGTGAGCCTGTTAGATGTGTAGCATCTCAGTCCCAACCCTAAACCTACAGAATCAAAACCTGAGAGTGAACAAGATGCCCCAGCTGTTTTGTGTGCAGCTTCAAGTCGGAGGCACACTGCCACATACAATACTATCAATAAATGTGTTCCCAAGCTTGCCTGAACATTCAAGTCAATGCAGGAGTTTTTAAAAATGCTGTTGCTAGGCCTTAGACTAGAGGAATTGAATCAGTATTTTCAAAAGACGGTTGTTGCCATTTTTCAGTCACTCAGTCATGTCCAACTCTTTGTGATCCCATGGATTGCAGCATGCCAGGCTTCCCTGTCCATCATCATCTCCCAGAGTTTGCTCAAATTCATGTCCATTGAGTCGGTGATGCCATCCAACCATCTCATCCTCTATTGTCCCCTTCTCCTCCTATCATCAGTCTTTCCCAGTATCAGGGTCTTTTCCAATGAGTCAGCTTCACATCAGGTGGCCAAAGTATTGGAGCTTCAGTTTCTTTTCTTTTCTTTTTTTTTGGAGCTTCAGTTTCAATATCAGTCCTTCCAATGAATATTCAGGGTTGATTTCCTTTAGGATTGACTGGTTCAATCTCGCACTGTCCAAAGGACTCTTAAGACTCTTCTTTAGCATCTCAGTTCAAAGGCATTAATTCTACAGTGCTCAGCTTTTTTTTATTGTACAGTTTTCACATTCGTACACTAGAAAAACCATACCTTTGACTAGACGGACCTTTGTCGGTAAAGTAATGTCACTGCTTTTTAATAGACTGTGTAGGTTTCTTGTAGCTTTTCTCCCAAGGAGCAAGCATATTTTAACTTCATGGCTGCAGTCAGCATCCACAGTGATTTTGGAGCCCAAGAAAATAAAGTCTGACCCTGTTTCCATTGTTTCCCCATCTATTTGCCATGAAGTGATGGGACTGGATGCCATGGTCTTAGGTTTTTGAATGCTGAGTTTTATCACTCTCCTCTTTCAGCTTTATCAAGAGGCTCTTTAGTTCCTTTTTACTTTCTGCCATATGGGTGGTGTCATCTGCATATCTGAAGTTATTGATATTTCTCCCTGCAATCTTGATTCCAGCGTGTGCTTCATCCAGCTGGGCATTTTGCATGATGTACTCTGCATGTAANCTCTTTAAGATCCACAATTTGTTGTAATCTACACAGTCAAAGGCTTTGTGTAATCAATGAAGCAGAAGTAGATGTTTTTCTGGAATTATCTAACTTTTTCTGTGATCTAATAGGTGTTGGTAACATGATCTCTGGTTCCTCCGCCTTTTCTAAATTCAGCTTGTACATCTGCAAGTTCTCAATTCACGTTCTGCTGAAGCCTGCCTAGCTTGGAGGATTTTGAGCACTATTTTGCTAACATGTGAAATGAATGCAATTGTGTGATAGTTTGAACATTCTTTGGCATTTCCCTTCTTTGATATTGGAATGAAAACTGACCTTTTCCAGTCCTGTGGCCACTGCTGAGTTTTACAAATTTGCTGGCATATTGAGTGCAGCACTTTCACAGCATTATCTTTTAGGATTTGAAATAGCTCAATGGGAATTCCATCACCTCCATTAGCTTTGTTCGTAGTGATGCTTCCTAAGGCCCACTTGACTTCAAGCTCTAGGATGTCTGGCTCTAGGTGAGTGATCACACCATCTTGGTTATCCAGGTCATTAAGATCTTTTTTGTATAGTTCCTGTGTGTATTCTTGCCATCTTTTCTTAGTATCTTCTGTTTCTTTTAGGTCCACAACATTTCTGTCCTTTATTGTGCCCATCTTTGCATGAAACGTTCCCTTGGTATCTCTGATTTTCTTGAAGAGATCTCTAGTCTTTCCCACTCTATTGTTTCCTCTATTCTTTTGCAGTGTTCATCCAAGACAGCTTATCTCTTCCTGCTACTCTCTGGAACTCTGCATTCAGATGGGTATGTCTCTCCTTTTCTCCCTTGCCTTTTGTTTCTCTTCTTTTCTCAGCTATTTGTAAGGCCTCCTCAAACAACTAATTTGCCTTTTTGCATTTCATTTTCTTGGGGATGGTTTTGATCACCACCTCCTGTACAGTGTTATAAACCTCTGTCCATAGTTCTTCAGGCACTCTGTCTATCAGATCTAATCCTTTGAATCTATCACTTCCAGTGTATAAGAGATGGCCCATAAGTATAGTGAGCTTAAAAATATTCTCCAGGTAATTATAATATGAAGTCAAATTATATCCATGGGCCTATATATTAAGGCTACCATGTTTGATGTCATTTATCATTTAATAAAAGTAGCATATATGTGACTCTTGTCTGGGCAGTCAGTCATTAAAAAAGGTGTTTCTGGAGATTGCAGGTAATAGAGTTTGCCTCCTGTCACGAGCACACTAAAATCACAACTGTCTGCAGAGCGGCCATGGATGGAGAAGACTGGAACTTACCAGCGAAGATATTCTATGGGTAAGGACATAAAGCGGGAGCTACAATGAGAGAGGTGGGGAAGGTGGATTTGCAATAGAATCAGAGCCCATACATGTAACCCACAAAAGGGAGAAAAATCACTACAGACGTTCTCCCACAGGAGCATGAGTTCTGAGCCCCATATCAAGCTCCCCAGGAAGATGAAACCCCAGAGCATTTGGCTTTGAAGTCCAGCAGGGCTTAATGTAGGAGCCCCTGAGGACAGGGGTAAATAGAGACTTCACTCTTAAAGCGTGCACACAAAATCTCACATGCCCTGGAACCCAGAGCAAAAGGAGTAATTTGATAGGAGCCTGGGCTGGGCCTCCCTGCTGGTCTTGGAGAGTCTCCTGGAGCAAGGACAGGAGAGGAAGCCGCATGTCACCCTGGGGACATAGACACTGGTGTTAGACATATTGGGGAACTTTCAGCCACGTGAACGCTGCTGCTGTGGCAGCTGACATTTTGGATACTTAGCTCCAGGATCTTGCCCCACCCAACAGCCTGCAAGGACAGTGCTGGGACACCTCAGGCCAATTAGCAAGTCAAAACGACCTGTGAGACACCCAGACCCCATACCCAGCAGTGTCAGGAACCCACCCCTCTCCCCTGTGCAGTGATCTGAAATGAGCCCTGGGGTCTCTGGGCCCTGCGGTCAGGTTCCAGGACTCGGTAGTCTGGCACTGATCCCTGGATTGGTTTCAACAGCTAGTGAGTAGAACAGCAGCCCGAGTCTACCCTGACTCTACTCACCGCTGAGCCAGCACTAGCCCCTGGGCTCCCTAGGATTCTGCAACCCGCCACCCTGTGACCAGACCCTGTTAAACATCAGCCAGAAGCATCGGCGCAAGGCAGGGCCCGGCAGCTCACCAGACTAGGGGCCTGCCGGACTGCCCACATAGTCAGCCCACCACAGCAGAAGGACCCATGGAGCCCTCTTAGGGGGAACCCTGGAGCACAGAGCTCGGGTGACGAGAGGGCAGAGCGCTGCTGCGATGCGTAGGACGCCTCCTACGGAGGGCTGCCTCTCCAAGGCTGAGCAACCTAACTAACGTACCACACACATAAGAATACAAGCAGAAAGCTGGACAGAATGAGGCAGCAGAGGAATATGTTTCAGCGAAAGGAACAAGATAAAACCCCAGAACGAGAACTAAGTAAAGCGGAGATAGGCAGTCTACCCGAGAAAGAGTTCAGAGTAGTGATCATAAAGATAACCAGGGAACCGGGATGAAATGAATACATAGAGTGAGAAGTTAGAAGGTTTTAATAAAGAGAAGATAAAGAGCACCCAGGGCTTCCCTAGCGGCCTACGGTAATTTGCCTGCCAATGTAGTAGACACAAGTTCTATCCCTGGTCTAGGAAGATCCCACATACCACGGAGCAACTAAGCCTGCGTGCCACGACTATTGAGCCTGTGCTCTGGAGCCCAGAAGCTGCCACAACTGAAGCCCTTGCTCCCGAGAGTCTGTGCGTCACACGAAAGAGGCTACGGCAATGAGAAGTGTGCATGCCACAGCTAGAGAGTAGCCCCCACTCGCCTCGAATAGAGAAAGCTTGCACAGCAACAAAGACCCAGCATAGCTGATTAAGAAATTAATAATTTTTTAAAAAGAGCAACCAAACAGAAAATGAAGAATACAATAACTGAAGTAAAAAAAATATTCTGGATGGAATCAATAGTAGACTAAATGATTCAGAAGAATGGATCAGTGAGCAGAAAGGCAGAGTAGTGGAAGTCACTACAGTAGAACAGGAAATAAAAGAATTAAGTGAGGACATTCTAAGAGACCGCTGGGACAACTCAAGTGCACTAATTCACATTATAGAGGTCCCAGAAAGAGAAGAGAGAGGAAGGGCCTGAGAAAAGATTTGAAGAGACAGTTTGCTGAAACTCTCCCTAACCTGGAAAAGGGAATAGTCTCCTAAATCCAGAAAGCCTAGGAAGTCAACCCAAAGGATCAACCCAAAGAGAAACATACAAAGACACATTGTAATCAAAATGACAAAAATTAAAGAAAAAATACTATCAACAGCAAGAGAAAAGCAAAAAATAACAAATAAAGGAACTCCCATAAGACAATTAGCTGAGTTTTAAGCAGAAACTTTGCAGGCCAGGAGGGAGTGGTACAATAAATGTAAAGTGATGAAAGAGAAAATATTGCAACCAAGAATACTCTGCCCAGCAAGGTTCTCATTCTGATTTGATGGAGAAATCAAAAGCTTTACAGACATGCAAAAGCTAAAAGAATTCACCACCATCAAACCAGCTTGGGAACAAATGTTAAAGGCACTTCTCTAGGTGAAAAAGAAAAGACCCACAACTAGAATTAAGAAAACAGCAGAATGAAAAAACTTACCAGTAAAGGCAAACACACATTAAAGGTAGAAAATCATAAACAAAACTAGTACTGAGGTAAAAAGACAAAAGGAGTAAAAATCATCTGTATCCTCATTAAGATAAGAGATACACAAAACAATTAAATATAAAATGTCATACACAGTAACTGTGAGGGGAGGGGAGTACAAATGCAGTATATTCAAAATGCATTTGAAATTAAGAGGTCAGCAACTCAAAACAATCACATATGTATATATACTGCTATACAAAAACCTCAAGGTAACTGCAAATCAAAACTCTATAGCAAATATTGAAAAAGGTGTTTCTGTACTCTTAACATGGTTTAAAATTATTTTTGAACAATATATATATTAAAAAACAGAAAAGAATAGCTTTATCTTGCACACATACCAAAAGTAGGCTTTCTTTACTTCTAAGAGGCACAGGCAAATTGAAGTGTGCTAGAGTACATGTGACATACATGGAAATAATTAATGAATATAGCATTTGAAGCTCAACTAATGCATGCTAAGATGATTTGCATTTTAAAAGAGACTACAGGCCACCTTATGGACTCACATGACTTACCAGAGGTCTCATTTGGAGGCCCCCTGTGCTAGATTATAGATGCTTCAAAAGCAGGAATACATATTTGATTGCTATATTTGAATTCATAGAATGACATTGTTGATTGAGTGCCCTAAGCCAAATAAATGAGCCACTTATGTTAGGTACTTGTTCACATTCATAAAAACAACAAATAATATTATCTTCATCAAGCCCTTCCTAAGAAATAGTGATTAAATGATATCTGGTGTTTCCTTTGTGTGCAGTTTCTTTCCAAGAGGTGGAGGAAACTGATTTGCTTTTGATGAACCTGTGTTGCCTCCAAATTGATGTCCACAGATTTCCTGCTTTATTAATTGTCCCAGCAATTTAGCCAGCAATGATTTATATGAAATATTCCCTCTTGTTGTAGGCTTTACAGTCAGCTAATTGATTGCTATATGAATTATGCATCCTAAGCCAAATGCGAGGGTGCATGAAAGATGCAGTCAAGGTCATTTCCACCAGCGAGAACTACAGTGACTGAACGCCTTTTTAAGACAGGCTTTATTACTTTAACTTTGCTGCTTTCTTCATGTATACATCAAGTCCGGAGTAATGAGAAACTCTAAAATCGTGCCTTTAATTTATAAAAAGATGCAGCCATCCACAGTTCAGTGTTCTGCTGCCTGACACAGGCTATAATTGAATTAATTTGGTAGCACTAAGGAAAGAACCAGAAATGGCATACAGGTGCTTTTTATCTGATTCCAAAATATGCCAAATCCCATCAAATTTGCCTATAGTTTATTAACACTCAAAAGTGACTGCTCCCAAAATAAGCACTTTGATTAGATGAAGGCCATGTTGGGACTAAATACAGACTATTTGGCATTTTGGTACTTGATGAAGGATGACAGTTTTGAAGAGTTACAGTCAATTATCATTTATTCATACTAAAAGAAGTGAATGATTTATACATTCTAGAGGCTGGATAAAGGAGAGGAGTGGTGCTGTACTAAAGCTTTCCGGATTAAAGCAATCAAGTTAGAATAATGAAAGGATCTTGGTTTTTGCTGTCTCTGGGACTTCCATCATTTAGCTATTTATTAGTTGAATGACTTTAGGCAATTTAACCCTTCGGACTTCAGTTGCCTTCTGCAAAAATGGTCCCAGTAATACTTTACTTGTACAGTTACTGTGAAGATAAGCATGACTAAAACTCACTGAAATCACTAACTTAGCCTTAGACAGTAGCTTATTGCTTATACAACAGAGCATTCTACCAGGTAGAGTGTTCCTTGGATTACAAGTTGTTCGTGAGGTTTGTAGAGAAACTTTTCCAATTTGCTCTTAAAATCACCCCCAGGTACTTCCCTGGTGCTCCAGTGGTCAAGGCCCCATGCTTCCAGCGCACGGGGTGTAAGTTCAGGCTCTGGTGGGGGGGGATCTAAGATCCCACAGGCCCTGTGGCCTGGCCAAAGAAGCAAACAAACAAAATGACTACCCACAGGGTCATGAGACCGTGTCACTATATATTCCGTAAACCAAACAAGCATCTTCTGATGTGAAAGTTTCCATATGCTCAGAGAACTCATCTCAGGAATTAATCCACAAGAAGTGCATGTTTCAGAACAAACTACAGCTCCATGAGGCATACCCAATCACATTCAGGCTGTACTGGAGAATACGTGTGCTATGATTTAACGTTAGGGGAACAGATACCTTGCCAGAGAGGAGTCAATCACAAACCTTTCAGACCAGAACTGCAAACTTTAGCGCACATAGCAATCAGCTAAGGGTCTTGTGAAAATGCTAATTCTGGTTCAGTAGGTTTGGGCTGGGGCCTGAGATTCTGCAGTTCTAACAAGCTTCCTGATCACATGATGCATCTGGCCCATGAACCGTGCTTTGAGTTGCAAGGTTGGGGGCTTTTCAAACAGGTGCATGTGAGATTCACCTGAAGATCTCTTTAAAAATAATGACACCTGGGCTCTTCCTTAGATTTGTTGAATCTCTGGGGTTCAGTCCCTGGCTTAGGTACTTTTTAAAAGCTCCCTGAGTGATCTTTATTTGTAGGTTGAGAACCAGTGTTTTAGATGCGAAGGCAAGTGCTTCCATCACCTCCTATCAAGCGATCTTTCTAAAATCACTTATTAGTAAAGCCCAGACTGTATAACACACAGAACCCCGGACGCAGACTTCAGAACATGACAGGAAGTATGGCAGGGCTTCTGCTATCAAGCGCCTGGTGGAGGTCTGCACATGCTCCACATCCCTGATCTGGATGAGAGGTGTCTGGATAGCTTCTCACCAGGCCCTGGCACGGGCTCAACATTTCATTGCTTCCTTGTAACTAGTGTCACCCCGTCAGTGGTCCTGAGGCTGTGATGTGAACCTGGAGTGGAAGGAAATGCCATATAGCATTGAAGGACTATACGTCGCAAATTTTACTTACAGAAGAAAATGCATACCATGATAGGGAAGTTTTGCTTCCATGGAAGGCATTGGTTCTACTTGCAGCCACCAATGACCCCATGCCTTTAAAATGAACACTTATACCATGCTGTCTGTATGTTTACTTTTTTCTCAGTTCCCACAGGTTTTCCTTCTTGCTTGTTGTATTGTCAATAATATGATTATTAATTCAATATCTGGTTTCTCCATTTCAGTGACACCTGCACCAGATTGACTGGGACCTTTTAAGACTACGCTGATGTGTCCGTCTATCATAGTTCCTGGTTCAGTAGGTCTAGGGTCAGGACTGAGAAATGGCCTTTCTAACAAGTTCCTATGAGGTGCCCTCAGATATTGGGCTGGGAACTACCCCTCCCCCATCCTTTGTTAACTACCACTTTATTATTTCATGAGATTCAGGGGAAGAGAGGTATTGTGCCTTTATATTCTCCATCTGCCACCAGTGCCTAGTATGTAGATGGCACAAACAAATACCATTTGAATAAAAACAGTTGGCCAAACCCTATCTCATTCATAATGAAAACACAGAATATTGGGCATTTCTTTTGGCCCATTAAGGATAATGTTTTCCAAAGAGGCTCCAAAAATAACACTGACCTAGGGATCTGTGCTGCTGTGGAATCTAGAGCATCTGGGGATACTTTCTATGAAAACTTATTTTCCCCCAAGCCACTAAGGTACAGTAATGCAATCAGCATGATGTACAGGTTTGTTGACTGTTCAGGCTTCCATTCAGGGGGTCTTGAAATGAAGAAGCAACAGAAGCATCTCCTCTAGGACCATCTGCTCTCAATTTTTCAGCTGAACCTCCTGAAGACTCACCAGGTGCTAATTTTGTATATGGTTCCATTGGAATTCTATCATTTTTCTCTAGATTTTACTTCCCAAAGAAAAGGAAGAATTCACTGAAGCAGAAAACCTCCCTGACATAGAGAAGATCAGGAGTGATCCCCAGCTGAACAAAGGCCAATTCTACAAAAATAATTGACAAATTGGCTGAGTTTTAGTCAATCCATTTTTTAAAGTTACCTCCTGAAAAGGTAGGCTTTTGGATCAACCATGTAGTTAGTCCATTTCAGTCTCAGGAGGAGGAAACAGATTGATTGTTTTTAAACCTATATTTTTTTTCCTCTCCCAACCTGGGCAGGTGATATTTTGGACAATTTTGAAAGCAATAACCATGACTTCATGAAAATCTGTTGCATGATTTCCTTTTCACATCCAAGTACTTAGAAATCATTCGCCCTTGTTACTAGAAAAACTTAACGTTGGGCAAATGATTAGAATCTCTTCTAATCCTCATGTTTTCTGAATTCACATTACCAGAAAGGAGACCAACGACCTCATCTGCAGTCCCAAATAAAGCCTGAGCTCCATGCTCACATTTGAGCACTAAGTTTAAGAGTAAAACTCATGATAGAACAGAGAAAAGGGGCACATTTTAGCAAAGCTTCAGGCAGACTTGATCCGAACTAAATGCTTTGTAATCTCTCTTTAAACAAAAGCTTTAGCTTCTGTAATCCTCCTCTTTATCTATCCCTGTGAAGCCTCCTGAGGTTGAAGCTGCTGCTTATGTCAGTTTTATAAACAGCCTAGATCTCTGCCCACAAATTGATTTCCAAGGGGGATGGCAGCAGTGTCAACTTAGCTCAAGAGTCATGAGTCATGGTCCCCTCCATTTGGAGACACCTGTGCAAGCGCAGCCTGAGCAAGGCCTGAGCATCCTTTGCTTGTCTTCTCACTTCACAGATGCTGGCCTGAGCATCCGGCCAGCCAAGGTCCCTAGCTCATTAAAGCATGGCTGAGAGACTGTTGTGTCTGTCTGCACCTTCTGTTCTTGAACCCCCAAGGAAAACTTCCATTTGTCATATCAGTATGAACCGTGCCACATTGTACTCCGGCTCCACCCAAAGTCTGGTGGCTTTGATGGGGTCTTTCAGTGCCTGTGAGCTTCCACTGCCTTTCCTGGGGGGAAACAGCAAGGAAGCTCAGACTCCATGGCAGACTGATGCCCTAGTGGAGCACAGTCAAGCCAGGATTGAAATGGCTTATGCTGGTCACTGTGACTTTCTAACAGGGGACTTTAATGCTGCGGATGAAAGCCTATATGTGGAGCCAATGAAAAGCTGCATTTCAAATAAATGCCAAAAATAAAAATATGTCACTGTGCAGAAACATCAGACAGAGCATACAACTTTTGATGCACCTCTTGTAGTGGGACCATGTACTCATATGTGAATATAGACATATGCACACACATACACAGAGACTCCTCCACAAAGGAGAGGCTGTCCTGTCTTCTCACAAGTCTGAGCTCTAGCTATTTGTGTAAAAGAATCAATCTCTAGATAAATCCTTATAAAGACCAATTTTGACTTTCCCTTTGACCTAGAAATCTAGGCTCAGACGCATTGATAAGAAAGTTGCTATAGCTGGGAATTAAAAAAAAATGCTGGATTCTCAAGTGACCCAGTTTAATGGAAGGACTATAGGGCTTTAGAATTAAACAGATCTAAAGATCCTACATATTCTATTTGTTAATTGTGAGGCTATGAGCAAGAACCTTAACTCTCTGAGCCTCGGTTTCCTTATATGCATGAAGCTTCTTGGAAGCATTAAAGTTCACATGTGTGATGTGGCTAGAAGAGAGTAAACCCTTGAGGAACATAGGTATCTGCTACTACTGACAATTCTTACCAGACAAGACGTGTAACCATTTCAGGTCCTGGTTTCTCCCTCAATCAATTCTGGTGCTCCAAGATTCTAAAAACTTAGTGCTTGTAGTGGGTTGACCAAGAAGTCATTTGACTTTAAGTAAAAATAAAAGATACTTTTCATTTTCACCAAGAACTTTATTGAACAATGTATTCACTAACCAGAGACACTTTTTGGCCAACCCAATATTTTATTTAGTGAAGGAGGACTGATGTAAAGAATCAGGAGTTTCTCAACAAAAGCTGATGACTTTCTTCCTTCTCCTTGGTGTCCCTGGGTGGATAGGCAAATGCTCTGTCTCCCCATATATGTGCTGTGCTGTGTTTAGTTGCTCTGTCGTGTCTGACTCTGCAACCCATGGACTATAACCTGCCAGGCTCCTCTGTCCATGGAAATTCTCTAGGCAAGAATACTAGAATGGGTTGCCATGCCCTCCTCCAGAAGACCTTCCTAACCCAGGGATCAAATCCATGTCTCCCACATTGTAGGTGGATTCTTTACTGTCCATGCCACCAGGGAAGCCCAATAATACTGGAGTGGGTAGACTATCCCTTCTCCAGGGGATCTTCCTGACCCGGAAATGGAACCAGGGCCTCCTGCATTGCAGGAGGATTCTTTACGAGCTGAGCTAGCAGGGAAGTCCCCACATTTATACAGGTGTTAATAAAATGGGGCAGGATGATGATAAGTCCCTAGGGAAGACAGTGTGAAGCCTCTATTTTCATCTTGTCATCTGGACTTTCTCTCTCTTCCCCTTTTCTATTTCTCATTCTCTCCCTCTCTCCAAATAAAAGAGTGTAATATCTCAGCCTTACATTTCAAAGGTCATTAAGGTGGGCACAGTTACAAAGCTATATACAAGCCATCAGTTATGATTGCTAGCTATGTAATCATCACTACAGATATATAATTCTAGATCACAATGTCTCCAGCTTTCCTTGGTAATAAATTATGTTCTGGAAAATGGAAATTGAAGAAAAGTTAATATTCCTGAAGTGCTCTACATGGAGAATACTAGGTAAAGGTATCATGCTTTCTTGCATTTGGTGCGTTTTCTAAGAGCTCTCTTTCCCAGACTCCATATTTGATTTGTATTAAGCAATGTCATATGCCATCCAGGACTGCCACTTATTTCCTGCAAGGGAAACGCATACAGCTGGACTCTATCATCATTTCAAAGATGTGTGTATATACAACGGCTCTCTTGCTCCTTTATTTAAAAAGTAGGTAACAGAATTTAGGGACTTCCCTTGTGGCTCAGTGGTAAAGAATCCATCTGCCAATGCAAGAGATGAAGGTTTGATCCCTGGGTCGAGAAGATCCCCTGGAGAAGGAAATGGTAACCCACTCCAGTATTCTTGCCTGGGAAATACTATGGACAGAGGGGCTTGATGGGCTACAGTCCATGGGGTAACAAAACAGTTGGACCCCACTTAGGGACTAAAAAACAACAGAATTTAGATGGGATTAATCAATGTGTACAGATGATAGACACTATTTTGAGTTGACTGGCATTTTTCACTTGCATTTTTCAGGTGATCGATTTATTTTAAAATATGCCTTTAAAAAATGAAGTAGTTTGGCTCAAACAATGGAATTTTCATTCCCTCTCATGTTGATTATAGTAACTACAATAACAAACCAACATCCACAGGGTGAAACTACTCTCTTGCATGCTGGTGAGCAATTGGTGAATTTCACTGACCCATTTTTCTATAATGAAGTAAATTATGTTTAATCTTTAAAATGTCCTCATATTGTCTGAATCTTACTTGTTTTTCAGCTTTTGGAGGCTCTTATGAGTTAGTGATACTTCTCATAGATCAAATCTTTTATAAATGAATTGTTGAAAGCCAGAAGACCCAGCCATAGAGCAAATGCTACAGATAAGATGGAGTGTTACAATTTACACTTGGTCCCAACTCTACTCATCTTTAGCATCATTCTGATTTATGCTTCTAGGTAGATGTAATAGTTTCCTGTTGGGCAACAAATGGTCACAAATCTAGGAACTTAAAACCACACACCTTTAGTACTCACAGTTTTAGTCTGGGCATCTCTTATACTTGGTCCTTTGCTTAAAGTCTCACAAGATTTCAATCAAAATGTCAGCTAGGCTGAGTTCTCATCTGAAGTCTTTACTGGGATATCTTGTACTTTCAAACTCACTCTGTTGCCAAAACACATTTCCTTGTGGTTGTAGGGCTGAGAGCCCCAATTTCTTCCTGATTAGATGCTGGAGGCTGCCCTCAGCTCCTGTAAGCTGCGTGCAGTTCCTCACCACATGGACTTCCCCAACAGGGCTGCTAGCTTCATGTTAGCAATACAGTCTCTAGAGTAGGTCTGCTCCCTAGTCATCATCTTAAATGACAGTGTAATTATGGGGGTGACATCCTTTGCTTTTGACATATTTTGTTGGTTAGAAGCAAGTCACAGGTCCCACCCACACACAAGGGAAAGCATTATACAAGATTGTAAATACCAGGAGGCAGGAAGCATAGCAGGGTGGACCCACCTTAGAATCTGTCCAACACAGGAGGCAAAGAAAGCAGGCTATTCGGAAGGGGCCAAAGGAGCATTCAGGGACAACCAATACTTTTCCAGAGGGTAAGACTCAGGCAGAGATGGAAATGATCCTGTGGCCAGCTAGGAGGAATAACATTTGACACAGTGTTTTTCCTTCTTGAGGAGAGAACCGTGAGGAAAGCAAACAAAAAATACCTCTGGCCAAAATTTTGTCTTTTAATTTCTGAATCCCTGTTTCCCTTATTTCTAGAGATCACCAAAAGAATTACTTCAACTCACTGAAATTAAAATATTCATTTTTCCCAAAAAGCTATCCAAACAACCCTTCAAGATCTAAAGCAGAATTTAAAGCATTTGTGGTAGAGGAATTCCTACACTCCCAAAACAGCCCCACCTTCTACCTTCTCAACGAAGAGGCACTAGCTTAGGTCAGGCCTTCTCTTCACAACCCAGCCTAGGGCCATTCTCAAATCTGACTGTTTCTCACACTAGCATCATGCCAGGCTGCCATTTTTACTTCTCCCATGTATCAAAATCTGGGCAAGGCTTCAGGGTTCATCTTCAGTTCCTGGGATACTCTTCCTTTGCTCCAGTAGTTCTCACCCTTGCTGTACAATAGAATCTCCTGGGAGATTTAAATGGGAAAACAAATTCCAGTGTTCAGATCCCAAGCATGCTCATTTAGTTGGTCTAGGTTGGAGCCTGGGCATTGGAATG